CCCTTGTCGAAAGTATGCCTGAGATTAATGTGCTCAGACCAGCAATATTGAACAATTTTGATTTGTGATATTCGGAATTTTGGATAACATTTAGTTAAGAGAGAGAATTTCAGTTCCAAATAATATCCCGAATTCGATCACTTTTTCTTGAAACTCGGAAATAAAGACCACGGAATTTGAACGTATTGCGACTACTGCTCTGTTTTATAAACACGACAAACTGCAGCACCAACATATCACGCTCATGTAAGTTAATAGGAACGCGTCGGTAATAATTAATTGTAACAATATCCGATTACATGCTAACCACAAGCTCTTTCAAAACGTCAGATATGATAAACATTCATACGTTTGCGTTAAATTCTGCATACTTGGCTTTGACGAATCTGTTAAGCCATGGTACGAAACTCTGCGCGAACTCAAAACTTTCAATACGTTGCGTGAAATTGACGTGGAATGAGAGTTGCATCACACGTTGACGTCTAGATAATATTCATTGCGAGCTCTCAACCATTTCAGCATTGAAACATGAAGCAGGCGTCATCGTCATTAATATGGAATGAAAGTTTATTAATGTATGCATAAATTAACGAAATAATTTCGCTATAGCTTCTACAATCTAAACGTTTTGGCTAGTGATCGAGCTTAGCTTATCCTATATATAATTGTGGGATTTGAGTAAAGATTAGATTTGAAAATCAACTTGAGACATTTCACGGTAGTTATGCAAGGTAGAATTTCTATGTAAAGTACCTCTTCTCCTTCTCTAAGCTCACGAAGGACAGCCACCTCAATCAATAAATTCTGCTTCATTCCGCTTAGCATTTCGCTTTTTTCTCTAAGCGAATGAATCCTAGCCTTAATTCTCCGCACGTCCCCTACGATTAAATAAATATTAGTCAGACGGCTAACACGATAAAACCCGACTGAAATAGATTGTTTCCCTTTGACCTGACTCACCTAAACCCGTCAGCAATATGCAACGATCCAACGACGTCGCAACACATTCATAATTGCCGGACGCAAACCTGACGGTGTACAGTACATTTTTTGAAATGCACGTGAAAGTATTGAAGCGTCGACAGAATTCGTACAATGCTTCGTCGTCCATGTATACCACATCAGGTGCGTTCGTCGCGGCGTAAGCCTAGCAAGAAAGTAAATTTGAAATCGATCGATAATGCAAGAGCATGTAATAAATAGTATTGTAACAACGGTCAAAGAACACATACCACAGTATGGATGTTCGCCCTCGAACAAAGTAATGAAAAGAGAAGCTTCGGCCCCTCGACCTGACCGACGAGAAACCCCTCCAAACTGAAATTCCACCGTAACTAAATCGAAGAACAACTTATCAATATTAGTATTAGGCTTTTCAACGCACATTTATGTAAAGTAAAAATAAGCAAATACAAACCTCAACGAGTGGAATTGGTGGCACAAACATTTTCCCTCTGTCCTCCCACAGCAGGACTTCCACGCTCAAGTTTCGTGTGTCCAACACTTCCGCCGTAAACATTTCATAATCTTCTATTGTTTGACACACGAACGTCTAATACAACAAAAAAAACAACATTATACATGCTAGTAAAAGAGCGTTCGTTTCTAGACTGCTTTTAATTATCAAGAGCGTACAACCTTGAGTAAATTAGGCCCGACAGTGGCTTCCAATGCAGCGGCAAACCTGTCTTGCCTCAGGTTAATCTCAATCATGGGCAAGTATACGGGTTTTAAAAAAAGGGCTCGATTATGAAGTAGCCAGAGCGCTGCTTCATATGTCGCTGCGTCGGTGTCGCGCAGGTTTTCCAACCGACGCGCTTGTATTGATTTGTACGACATGAGCCTTGATAAAATTATATTAAAATAATGACATTTTTATAATTATAATTATAATTAAGAAGTGTGTTTTCTCAACCTAAACTTACTCTCCAGCTGCCTGCTGCATTACTTTACGTTGGTTGGCGATGTTTCGGTCTATATCGTCATTGACAGTTTGTAATTTTTGATCGATTCTGGACTACAGATTTTATATTGATTGGTTAATTTTGTCATTATTCCCTCGTAAAAACAAATAATAAAAAAGACAAGCGTACGATTGTGTTAATGATGTCCGACATGATGTTGATGTAGTAGTATTAGTAGTAGAGTAGTAGTAGTGGAGTAGTAGTAGTAAACCAAGAAACAATGTGCAGTGTTATTTATGATCGTGGATACGAATCGTAAGACTGAAGCGAGTTTAAATAATAATTATATGACTAATTTGTACAACGAACTGTCATACTGAGCGTGCTCTAAAAAATGTCTGGCAATAATTTATATGTATTAAATATTGCGATCAGTTAATGCGATGCTTATTCATTTTCTATGACATGCTTGTTTAAGACGATGCAAATGTTAATTATCTTAAATTAGGATACTGACATAGCGGAAAAGTAACAAATAATTAAATATCTTGTAACCTTTTACGTGAGAAAAATAGTTTCGAACAGTAGTATCAGCATTCTTTTAAACAGCACCTCTACCAAGAATAAACTTATGGAGTTCATATAACCGTGTTTTTGCAAATAAAGCGGGTTAGCAATGCTCTCCAAGAAAGGCAAGTCCAATATAGCGATGGTCGTGGTGTAAGTTGATTGGGATTTCTATTAAATGGTTAAGGGCAAAGACCTTCAGAATTGTTGTAGTATTCAGCGTATAATGCAATGTAATACGACTCATTTTGCGAATGTCTTCATTGTTTCTATTACGAGTATATTTTAAACGGGGTTCATCAACAATACCATTGACAATGGAATGGCGTAGCAACCGCTTATTATTGTGTCATCTGCTGGAGTTTAACCATTCATGTCTATACGGTATGACAATGCTGACAACAAATGTGAGTCAATGTAATTATCACATTGGGACAAGACTTGGATATTCTATTCACTCATCACAATCAAAGCGAACAATTTATCAATCAACTCTTAAAGTTTTTCGAACGATCGTTTCTTGATCCGTAGCATTTTATTGTCAATAGCGAGCATATAAAACTTGAAGGGCTTGTCCTAGTTCGTGTTGGGTTTTAGTGGCCTGGTTCTTTTTAATTCCTAATGACCTTTACCCTACTCGATGTCTTCTACACGTCCCAATTTTCATCTGCGCTGTGTCACGTATGACTCAACAAAGAACTTTTTTCAATCTATTCGAGTTGATTGTAATGTCTCCGATTGTTATGGCAAAGGCTGCGACATGTAATAGATCTAGTCCGTATTATGGAATTGCATATTTAATAATAGACGTATAGAACAAACGTTGCCCTTTCACAATCAAGCTTTTTACGATAGCCGAGAATTTTTCACTCGCAGACTATATAAGGACAGCAATCTCAATGGTTATTCCCATCGTGTCACGTAAGTTAAACCTGCTACATGATCGCACATCATTACAGAATTGGGCAAAATGATCAAATAGGAAAGTTGGAAGGTCCGGTCTGCATAAAAATTGTATACTAGGATACGGGAACCATGTGCTGCACAGAGAAATTCATGTGATCGAATTTTTCACAGTGCGTAGATAGTAATAGTCCTTCGCTTTGCTCCGGACAACTAGTCGCATCTCAAAAAACAATGACAAACAATGCTTTATGCATGGATGTGCATCATATATATATATTATAGTTGATGGTTGAGTTTTCGATATACGATGTGCTAAGGAAAGACTAAATTATAGTACAGACAATAAAGGTGTTTCTCAAATAGTAATGCAACTCTCTTTCTGCTCACGTTGATCGATGTTCATAGCAGGGATAAAAAAGACAATAGACATTCATCAATTCATCGTGATTTCTTAACCAATTTAATGTCTTTTTTTCGACAACTTTGAAATCTTGGAATATCGTGACAGTCACTTTTTGCAGCTAAACAAGCCGCCGCTAATGATAAACCTTAAACAAATCGAAAATGGATCGTTTGTTTTTTTCCAGACTGCCAGATGGTATTTTTCTTGGTTAAGCCATAGAATAAGCCAGAGAATTTGATCGTATCCAACACGACTACATCCTAATAATATTTAATCGTAGCAAATAAATCATCACCCGGTTGGCTAACTGCGCAGAATAGAAAAATCTTGTGCACGCGCCAACGTTGGAAAAGACATCGCGTCGATCGCCGTTATTTAAACTAAGCAAAGAAACAGTCGACCAAACGACCATCCCAATGATGCCAAAGAACTATGATAATATAAATAAGACAAATTGACAATAACCTATCGCGAATTATCAATAAAAGACATTGACCTTTTCAATGAAAAGACTCAATACCAGTGAAAAAGACTTCATTCATTTCATCTCATATAATATGCTTGCAAGAAAAGCAGATGTACCCTGATCCAATAATGAGATGTATTCGTACAAGGTTCGTATCAAAACCGAACTCCTAATTATAACACCGTCACCAAACCTCATTCAATTTGTTACAATAAAGCCTATTGCAATGACTAGATCCCATACAACACCAAAAGCTACAAATAATCCAAAATATGGATTTATCGGTTGAATACCTATACGCACTGGGTGAAAATAATACATATGACATACTATCATTTGTCAGCATTGGTTCTTTTCGTTGCCAACTGCTTCAATGCTGCCCAATGAATACGATCTGATTCCGTTGTTTAGACTTCGTAAGCTGCAGCCAGTCCTTTTTCTTTGTAAAACCTGGTGGAAGCAATGATCCAGTGTTCGGGAAACAATAATCTGTGCTGGCGTAATGTCATCTTGCGTCAAATACTTCAAACGGAACGCGTCGGATGGTAAAGCTATAACTGTAAATGTAGGTATGTTACTAAACACAGATAGATACAATATGCAGCTAACGCCACTCTCAATTTCCACCACCACAACATTCCATCCACCGTTATCTTTAACTCTAAACCCCCGCATTATTTTCAGTCTCAACGCAAAATTGGATTTCCTTCATTGAAGCTGAATGCAGGCCAGCCTAGACAAAACGAACGATATTAAGACAACCCACACGGACATACATATTCGACAATCCTTCCCATTTCCACATTGTTCCTCTTGATCTTTCGAACTCCCGCAGTCCCGACTTACCAGAGCTCTCTATTCAATAGAATAACTATCCTTTCGTCCGAGCTATCGAGCTACAATTTGAAAATTTCATATTCTCTTCAGTCTACTTTTCCCTTCTCATCGTAGGCAACCTTCCTAATGCATAGCGCATCACACTCTTCAGCGCTTCCTCATCACCTTCATCCTTTGTCAGCCCATCAACTCTATAGTTGACCACATTCTTTCTCAAAAGTTGTGCCGAGCGATTAATCGCTGCCTACGTGATTTTTTCCGCGTAGAAACTGTAAAAACGCGAACAACTACAAATGCGCTCTGTTCTGACCTAACCGACATCCCCCCCCCCCCCCCCCCCCCCCCCCCCCCCCCCCCCCCCCCCACCCACCCCCCCCCCCCCCCCCCCCCCCCCCCCCCCCCCCCCCCCCCCCCCCCCCCCCCCCCCCCCCCCCCCCCCCCC